GGGGGGGGGGGGGGGGGGAGTCCGGGCATCGTCATTTTTCCTTGGAAATTGATTGGTTGAACCGAACTTGGCTGGGCAGTTTTGTCAAGCAACTTTGCAGCTCGCAAGTCTGGGTTCATTAGGTGTTAAGGAACTTGCCTCCCTTCAGGATATAGGGGTATTACATCTCTTCCTCCACTGGCATTTCTGGCCCTGAGTTTTAATTTTTGTGACAGCGATGAGGACTTTCTGTCAAGCGAGTGAGTGATTTGTCAGGGAATCTATTGATGCTGATATCATACATTTGTAAATCGGAATGGTATGTAACCGACGTATTCGCAGTACTGAGGTTTTCAGCAGCCATTAAGCAATGTGGTTGGGATGCCACCGATGAAAGAGGGGCGTTGATTGAACTCGATTCATCTTCTCGGCAGATTGCCGAACCAAATTTCATTGATTATGAATTGCTGTCCTTTCCTTGTTTCACTCTCTTTGAAGTGCATTGGTACTAAGCAAACCCCTTTCCTTGTTTCAATCTCTTTGAAGTGAATTAGTACTAAGCAAACCATTCTGGGGAGTTGGTTTCAGTCAGACAATTCTATCCCCGGGGTCTTTCCCCGGTTCCGACTTCTACCTGGACGCCAGATCATTTAATTCCTTTTCTAGTAGATTTTGCCCTTCCATGGAATCCCTCGCTTAATGCCCTTTCCGTGAATTCCTCTCTCCCTTATCACGCTGCCTCTTGTCTCCTCACCATCCCCCGATTCTCCGACTTTGAACTGATTCACACATTTTGCATGCACTTTTTGCGTGCACTGCATCTGATTAAACCATTAAAAAAATTAAAAAAAAATCCCTTTCAGCTTCCTGTACCCCCTGCCTAGCAACTCTTCTTAACAAGCATCTTGTTCCTTTCGCCTCCTCCCTCTCCACCTCTTCCAAAAATGCCTTCTCTTCATCAATCACAAGCCCGTATTGAATCTACTGCCGTCCCATATCCCAGCCTTACGTGATCAGACACGGACGGAGTATCACACGCATCGTCTCCGACACAATCTTTAAAGGGGTTGGAGAGGTGTCGGGGGTTATGACCCAGGGAGGATGTCCACCAGAGGGCTTTCCGCGCCGGGGTCAGCCCTACTGACGGTGCAGCGGGCCCACCCACTTACCCAGTGATCTGTCAAGGAGGGGACTCACAATCCTCGCTACCCACCCGGGAGTGTCCGCCCAGACCAGCGCTACCAGGCGGATCTTGTTTGTGTATAGACCTTGGGATGCACGCAGTCCCGCAGTCTATTTTGCAGCCATGGCGAACTCCAGCACATCATTCCGGTCCACCTGCCCACAGTGATTACGTATTGCAGAACACATAACTGCCCTACACATGGAGCACATCGGTCTCCTCTATGTGGAGATTGCCCACTTGCCCTGCAAATGTGCTCAAGGTTGTGTCTGTGTGCCAGAGCCACGCTTGGTCACCGGACCCTTTCCCCCCCACCACAGTGGCCTCTACTGTTGTCCCCCGAATGTCACACATATGTGCTGTAAACGAATACAACACATATGTTGCTTTCTATTCGAATACAATGCACGTGTGTTCTATTCGAACGGCTTGGATATCCGAATACAACTCATATGTGTTCTATTCCAATCGTGGATTTTTTCTTTTCGAAAACTCAAATACAACGCGCATGCGTTATGGAGGGGGGAAGACAACGCATATGCATTATGGTTGGGGGGAAGACGGTATTCCTTTGTTCCCAATATAAAGTTCCCCTTCCACCCGGGAAATGGAGGTCCATCATTCCCCCACACTGCAGGGTTGGCAGTCGGTTTATTACCCGCCGGACGGTCGAAAGGTCATGACTCGCCCATGGAAACGGGGCAGGACATAACAGGCGGTCTGGAAGATTACTCCTAGGTGCATCACGGATTCAACTTGATATCCCGTGCGGCAATTGCACATGATAATGGCAATGAGGTCCACAACTGCAATCTCCCGGGGACGCCACATTCATCGAACAAGATCTCTTCCTAATCTCTGCCCTCTGGGTGCTGCTAATGCCTGCCAAGCCACACCCTTCAAATGCAGCCATGTCTATCACCCCCTCGGGGAGTGATTATCTCCCCTTACCCAGAGGCTGAGGGTGCAAGTTGTTAGACCTCTGAGGAGCCGGGTGCGGGTGCAGTTTTTTTTTTTTTTTTTACTGCAAGTTGCAAGAGAACCAGCAAGCCTAGCGCAGTTATTATGGTCATCCTTTACATCGTTGCATGGCGCTCAGCTTGCTCACACCAAGGACCAGAGCGGGAGCTGTGAGGCGATGGCATGGTGGTTCAAGCCATGGTTAACAATACAGGGAGTGGGTGTAGGATATGGAATTCTGTGTGTGGTTTGCCTTGTCATGATTGCCCGTTTCATGTGTTGTGCGATCAACGCTCTTGATGCCTCTCTTCACCTAAAAAGCACATGCCAGTACACAGTCATTCAGGTGGAGGAAGTCCAACACATCGTCGATTCATAGGTAGATATCACTCGTGCCTGCGAAAGTTGACACATCGTCGATTCATAGTTAGATACCACTCGTGCCTGCGAAAGTTGGGAGCCCCCCGCTATGGCAACGTGTGTTGTCCGCAGCAGGAGTAGAGTACACCCCAGGCGCGAGTCCCACTTGACCCAAGAATTCATTCCTGGCCGTTGATCCTGAGAATCAACGGTCAAAAAAGCGACAATTCGGCTAAGTGGGACTTGGCCTGCGGATGGAAAAGTGCTATAGTCCAGTCATCTGATTATAGCCTATAGCTCGATAATCTCTGAGATAACCTATACAGAATCTCAGTCATCCGCCACAGGTTGTGCAAGTATGGTGGTGGCCATTCAGAAATGGTGGCATTCGTTACCCATGGTTAGGAAGACGACCCGTTGTTCGTGGTGTTGCTATGAATCCTGTAGACCATCCTCATGGAGGAGGAGRAGGACGTACAAAAGGAGGCCGAAGGTCCGTTTCTGACGAAGATGGCAGTGAAACATGGGCCGTAACATGGGCCTTAAGATTGTCCGTGTTTCCTTCTTTTTCTGTTCTTTTTCTTTGGGGGGATAAGTTGATTCAGTTCTCCTTTTATGTTTTACACGTGGCATCCTTGTGCAGGGGCCACGCTAATCTTCTCTTCTGAGTCTTCTCTGGATTGCTCCAATTTGAACGTTAAAGTTCATCAAGGTAGGAAGGGATGGGTCCTGTGAGCATATATGCAATCAGAAAAGCTTTCATTCACACTTTACATGCATGCAAACAGTAGCGCAGCAAACTGGCGACATGCGCCCACTCAGTACTCAGAGATATGGCAACCCAGATACGAGTTCACTTCCAATGGCTATGGCGACGTAGCGCCCATACAACTCTCTGTTCGCATACAATGGATCACCCTGGATATCCCACACGCGGTCCTCTGAACACTCGCACACACACACACTGAGCTCCAACTACAGCTATGGCGGCTATGGCCGCCTCTACCCTATCGCTATGGCTACACTTTGTCTCTCTGCCCACTTCGGCTTCGGGCTCACTGCAGACCTCCTTGCACAAGTCGCTGTGGCAGCGCTTCCRCATGGCTCACGCAGGAATGAATGAATGGCTGGGCGCTGCCTCTTGATTTATACTTCTGCAGTGTGTTGGTCTGGCCCTCTCCCAGGCCCGAAGTGCCTACAGTCCCATGCGGTACTTGCTGGACTGGACCAGGACTGCCTAGGACTGGGACTGCTGACTCAGCACAGGCAGACTCCACCACTTGCCTCACCACTTGCCCACTTGCCTCAGTCTAAACGTGGGCAACTTCGAAAGGCCACTACTGGGACCTTCTGGAAGGCCGTAGACTTGGCCTTTCGTGACTGTAGCAGCTACGACTTTGACCCTTCTGGACTGTAGCAGCTACAACCTTGACCTTTTGGGAAAGCTACAGCTACGACTTCTAGACCTGACTAAGACTTCTACTCGGCAGGTGTACAGATCGAACCCCTGCGACCTCTGGACCCTACGACAGTCTACCACTGTTACAAATATACAGGTCACGGGTTCAACTCTAGGGGGCGACACAGACACTGTACACAGGTAAGGTGGGGACAAGGGATCGAACCCTCGGATCTGCGTCAGCTACTGCGAGCTGGTGAATACCGTTTCACTCCCGCCGGCCTAAATTCAAGGTCCTCCGAGAATAACTCAGTCCAGGGCAGGACCTTTACCTCTCTGATCTCTCTCATAGGCTCTAACTATATCGGGAGTTGTTTCTAGAAGTTCTGATCTCGTGATCCAGCGGTCATCTTCCGGTTCCTTATATGCAAACCGGACTTTATACTGCTTTTGTGGACGACCTTTGCCTCCTGTTCTAAACACATCTTCACCTACAATGTCGTCGATGTCATACCTTCCGTCCATGTCATACCTTCCGTCCATGTCTGGAGGGATCATGGACCGTCGAGAGGGAAACTGTGGACTTGTGACACACGGCAGTAACTTTGATGCGTGAAATATAGGGTAGGTGTGGAGGTGTGCTGGGATCTCTACAGTGTAGGACGGCCCATCCTCTCCGCCCTTAACTTCTAGAACTGGCCGCGGTCCTCTATGCGCGGGCAGTAACTTCTGCGAGATGTTCTCCTCAGGTGCAAACTCTGTAGACTTGAC